CACAGCAGCATCTCTCATGTTGGAAGAGGAGGAGGAGGCAGGCTTCCGCAAAACTGGAACCAGAACCGGCTTTGACTCTGGGGCTCTGGGCTATTTCCATCTTCTTTTGATGCTTTCTGCATCATTCCGTATTTTGCCCATAGAATCCTCCAATATTGCTAGTCGAGGCTTGCATTTTTTCTTCAGTTCTTTCAGCTTGAGAAATGCTGAGCGTGTTCTTCCCTTTTGGCTTTATAACTCCAGGTCTTTGTACATTTTATTATAGTACTTGACTTTGTCTTCTCTAGCAGCCCTTTGAAAATTTCTGTTCAGCTCTTTTACCTTCTCATATCTTCCATTAGCTTTAGCATCTCTATGCTGGAGAGCAAGTTTCAGATCCTCTTTTGACATTCATTTTGGTCTTTTATTTTTTCTTGTCTTCTTAATGACCTTTTGCTTTCTTCCTATATGATGTTCTTGATATCATTCCACAACAATTCTGGATCTTCGGTCATTAGTGTTTAATGCATCAAATCCATTCTTGAGATCTCTGAATTCAGGTGGGATGTGTTCAAGGCCAAATTTTGGCTCATATGGACTCTAGTTTTCATTTATTCAGCTTCAGTCTGAACTTCCATATTAGCAATTGATGATTTGTTCTGCAGTCTGCCCCTGGCCTTGTTTTGGTTATGAGATCTCTTTCCACAGATGTTGTCAGTTTGATTTATGGGTATTCCATCTGGAGGGGTCCATGTGTATAGTTGTATTTTATGTTGTTTAAAAAGATGTTTGCAATGAATAAGTCATTGGTCTTGCAAAATTTCATCATGCTATCTCTAGGATCATTTCTATCACCACGGCCATATTTTCCAACCTTCGTCTTTGTTTCTAACCTTTGCATTCTGATCACCAGTAATTATCAATACATTTTGATTGCATGTTTGATCAATTTCAGACTGAAAAATTCCTATAATTCTTCAATTTCATTATCACTGGCTTTAGTGGTTGGTGTGTAAATTTGAATAATAGTATTGAGTCTTCCTTGTAGGCGTATGGATATTATCCTATCACAGACAGAATTATACTTCAAGATAGATTTTGACATGTTCTTCTTAAGGATGAATATGACACTGTTCCTCTGCAATTTATCATTCTCGGTTTAGTAAACCAGATGACTGTTAGATTCAAAATGACTAATACTAGTCCATTTCAACTCACTAATGCCTAGGACATCAATTTTTATGTGTTCCCTTTCATTTTTGACAAATTCCAATTTTCTTAGATTCATACTTCATACGTTCTATGTTCTAATTATTAATGGATGTTTGCAGCTGTTTTCCCTCATTTTGAGTTGTGCCCCATCAACAAATGAAGTTTCTGAAAGAATTACTCCATTTGTGTCATCACGGTCAACTTTACTTTGAGGAGGCAGCTCTTACCTTGTCATATTTTGAGTGCCTTCCAACCTGAGGGGCTCATCTTCCAGCACTATATCTGACAATATTCTAGTGCTAGGAGTCCTGATGTGGCACTGTGGGTTAATGAACCAGACTGCAAAGCCGTATGAACTGCAAGGTTGATGGTTCAAGCTCACCAGCTGCTCCTTGGAAACACTATACAGGGTCGCTATGGGTCAGAACCGACTCAACGGCACTTAACAACAACAGTCATAATGAGGTTGCACCTCAATGTAAAGAAAACAAAAATCCTCACCACTTGACCAATAAATAACATCATGATAAGTGGAGAAAGATTAAAGTTGTCAAAGACTTCATTTTGCTTGGATCTACCATCAGCACTCATTTAAGTAGCAGTTAAGAAATCAAACGACATATTGCATTAGGCAAATCTGCTATACAAAACCTCTTTATAGTGTTCAAGAACAAAGATATCAGATTGATATACTATGGTGCACCTGACCCAAGCCATGATATTTTTAATAGCCTCATATGCACATGAAAGTTCAACAATAAATAAGGAAGACCATAGAAGAATTGATGCATTTGAGTTATGGTGCTGGAGAAGAATATTAAAGGTATCATACACTGCCAGAAAAACAAACAAATCAGTGTTGGAAGAAGTACAACTAGAATGCTCCTTAGAAGTCAAGATGGCTAGACTTTGTCTCTCATACTTTGGGCATTTGTCAGGAGGGAGTAGTCCCTGGAGAAGGACATCATGCTTGGTAAAGTGGAGAACTGCGTAAAAGAGGAAGACCCCCAAAGAGATGGATTGGCATAGTGATGGCAACAGTGGACTCAATCATAGCAGCAATTGTGAGGATGGCGTAGAACCAGGTGGTGTTTAGTTCTGTTGTACATACAGTCGCAGCAAGTCAGAACTGACTCAATGGCACCCAACAACAATAACAGTCATAATGTGTCAATATCCAATATTCTTTTTCTGACAGTGTTCCACTGCCATTCATAAGGTTTTCAGTGGTTAAACATTCAGAAGTAGTCTGCCTCTCCTTCATCTTAGTCTATTAGTCAAACTGTAGAAAGGCCTATAAAGTGAACAAACCAAAGAGGTGTGCATTCATTAGAGCAATCAGTCATAGGTAATCAAAAGGACAGAATTTTCCCAGGGATAAAGCTCAGAAGGCAGGAAAGGATAGGAGAGGATGAAGAGAAATGGTAAACACAGGGAGGAAGTGGGAGGAGTGCTGTTACATTGTGCAGATTGCAATCAGTGTCACAAAACTAAAGGGGTGTGAATTGTTTAATGGAAAATGAATTTGATCTGTAAACTTTCATCCAAATCAAAATTATAATAAAAGTAACAAAGGTTGTAAAATCAATGTTTTCATATGTCGTGGACCAGCCATGACACACTTATTTGGGGGGTCCTTAGAGAGAGATATGGCATTGGCGAAGAAATGAAGCTCACAGAATAAATGGGTCTCGATGAATGGTGAATCTTCTCTCACATTTTATTTCTCCTCTTTTTTATTTCAGATTCTCAAACAGCTTTTATACTACTATATACCATCAATCTATTAATCATTCTTTTCAAAGTAGTGGTCTAAATCATACAATTTAATCATTTCAATATAGAGCATCAAGAATATCAAAATTTTCCTTGTTCCCCTTTACGTAGTTAGACAATATCTGATTTCTGTAAGCAAACCTTACTGTTCTTAAAATGTCAGGTTAACCTTAAAACATAATTCTAAATCTTAACTCCTATTTCTACCTTCACCTATTATTTTCTATAGATTCATTAATCATAACATGTACTTAAACATTATTTGCTATGGTAACTGATAACACAGTTGTTTCTCATGATTGATTAAACAAGAAAAACAAGAACATAAAAAAGCACTTAAAGTTTTGTAGTTAAAAATAAATGAAACAACTTCCTTCTTATAAAAACTTCTCTATACAAAACATCTAGTTAAATTTCTGCTTATGATCTATTACTATTCCCTTAGCCCTCAAATGCATTTTAGCTAATTTTCTAGGGGTCTTAATGTCCCTGACTGAAACTACACAGAATGTTGAATGTAATCTTAAACTTGGACTGGCGAAAACTTTAGCTGGTTTTTCCTAGTGGTGAAACTTATTGTTAGTATGAAAAGCATTCTTTAGGACTACACATGATTGAATATGGTGTGAAGGTGCCTAAAAACAAGTTTCAAATCTCTAATATAATTCTTACTAAGATTCTACTGAAAACTTCTATTATAAAATCAAGAAAATTAAAAATAAGCTGATTAAAACAAAGAGACAGAAACTGCAGAGTCCCCACATGAGATTCCTCCTGGGGCCTTGCCTTCCAAGGGGAGACCCATTGTGGCCTTGCTTAACAATGAATCCTTCATGCTTAGGGTCCTCCGCTGCTCTGCCCTTTGGTGACATGGCCTCTGCCAAACTACAAAGCCAGCAAGGTCCCTGCATGAAATCTCCTGAGGCTCTGCCAAATCAACAAGGCACCTACTGCTGCTCTGCAGTATAATGGGCTTTCTTCATACATTGGGTCTCTCGCTGCTCTGTGTTGTTGCAATGTATTCCTTATCAGAGCCATCATGGCCCCTGCCAATCATACACAGTAGGTACTTGACAACAAGCAAAATCTCAGATGATACATGATCTTGTGGTTCCTTTCCTCCCTCTGACCCAGAATAGAAATGTGGGATCAGAAGAGATAGATCTGTCTCCTACACAATGTAGAAGCTCTAGTTCCACTTTCTCACCTTTCTGTCAGGAACAATGGAAATGGTGAATAGAGAAGAGGAACATGGCTTCCTACAGACCAGCTTTTTGGTCAAAAGAGAAAACTTTACGTTTGAGGAAAGCCCAGGAGTGAACCACAGAGTAATTAGGAAATAGTCACATCTTGATTTATATATGTAGAACTTTATTTTTATAGAAAAAAAGAGTACAAATTTTTGTCTAGTACTCTGCCACTCTTGGGGGAAGCCTGTCTGCTTGAGTCAGGAGTCCATATTCAAGACCCCCTCTTTGTGTATATATATATATGAAGAAGGACCTGGGAGGTTACAACCCACCCTTGTTCTAGAAAAGGCTTGATACCTACACCTGAAGGTTTAGGAGGAAGGGGCACAGTGTTCTTTGGCTTCTAATTACTCTGATCAGTGAATAGGTTGGAGTCAGAAGGCAAAAAAAAAAAAAAGAAAGAAAAAAAGATGTGTAGAAAAGATGACTCACAAGATTTTGCTTCCTAAACTGGGTTAGTGAGTGATAGAGCTGCCTTCTCTGCTAGCGAACACTCCCCAGCCCTCCCATGCCCTGCTGGTTTCTTTTCTAAAATCAAACTTGGTGGTAGTAGTGTGCCATAAAGTCGGTTCTGACTCATAGGGACCCTGTACAGGGTTTCCGAGGCTGTAAATCTTTACAGGAGCAGATAGCCTATAGGATTTCATTGCTGGGATCCTAATTCATTAAGTTTTTTCTGGTTTGGCCCCTATCATATCTGAGACCCTCCCCTATCCTAAAGCCTTCTTTCCCCATGACCCTTCTTGGATTCTTCATGACTTCGGGGGTTTAACTGAGTTCTTGTTATATGACTGTCAGTTCTTGTGTCACAGGGAAGCCATGTTTAACCTTGTGCTTGTCAAACAGTTTATGCAGGGCACTGATGTAAAGTGCATGGTACTTGTCCACTGTGTCCTTGTTGGGATTCTGGATCCTGGGGATTGGTATGGGCTTTCCAACTATGGGGAAGGAGAAGAGACAAGTCCCCGCATCAGAATCCTCCATACTATCCAAACTATTCATCCCTTAGTGGGGGACATGTACTGGAATTCAGTGTCTGGGTCCCCTTCCTTTCCTTCATTCTTACCATCTGCTCCAGCTGTAGCCTATCCATCATTCTCTAATCACATCCCTTGTATATCCAAAATAATGAAAGTAAGTTCAGGAGAACAACAACAGTGAAGTAATGTGTGAGAATGCTATCATAGTAGCTGTTGCACTCTTTATTTCCATCCTTTCCAATGGCCATGAGCCTTATCATTTTAGTTGTCCTCACACTTTGCTCTCAACCACACCCACTGGAATTCCAATTGTGAGCTGCGTCCCCTGGGACTTGATGGATGACCTAGGGACTGGGGTACTAAAACGCTTACCAACAGTTGTAATGGGCCGATTGAAAGGAAGGAAGCCCCAGGATCCACGAGTGAGGCCTCGGCCATGGAAAGTACAGAAATTTAGACCCAGGATTTTTCTGAATGTGTCCTGGAAGCTTTTTTGGAAGAACCTTATCCACGTGCTCTCAGGGAAAGTTTCCTGATTGTGAACCTCATTCTCTCCAAAAGAATAAGAAGGGACAAGATATGACCTGCAAAGAGGGAGTCAAAGTATGAGCTCTTCTAAAAAGCTTCCCAGCAAAACCTTTTCCAGGGTGGAAAACTTCTCCAATCTCTCCATTACAGTATAAGAACTATTACAGAACAAGAACCTAAGCATTCAAACATTTCTGACACCAAGTCTCATTCCTCCCAGCTAAACCCATTAAGGGGAGCTGCTACTTCTTGTCCTATGGTGAGAATAAACTAATCTCAGGCTATCTAACTACATTCATTGCACCCAACATCAAGAGTGATCTTCCTAAACTGCATATCTTGGCATATCACTCTTCTGCTTAGAGTTCTTCTATAGCTCCTCATTTTGTACCATGTTACTTAGTTGCTGTTGAGTTGGCTCCAACTCATTGTGACCTCATGTACAACAAAAGGAAATGTTGCCTGGCCCTGAACCATCTTCACAATCCTTGGTATGTTCTAGCTTATGGTGTATTTTGAGTGTCTTCCAACCTAGGAGGCTCATCTTTCAGCATAACATCCGACAAAATTCTGTTGTGATCTCTAGGATTTTCACTGGCTAATTTTTGGAAGTAGATCACCAAGCTTTCTCCCTTTTCTCCTGTCTTAGTATGAAACCTGCTTACCAAGGCTGTTCTTATTGATATTTGAAATACCAGAGATATAGCTTCCTGCATCATAGCAACATACAAGCCACTACAATATGACAAATTGACAGATGGGTGGTGCATGGCCTTTATGCTCTAACTCTGCCTGCCTAGCTAGCTTCACCTCTCCCACTCCTTCTTTGCAATCTGCTTATCCATACTAAATGTGCCAAATTCTCTCATCTATGTATCTTTGTACACAATGCTCTCTGAAACACCTTCCCTCTGTCTATATGTAGATACTTCTATTTTGCCCTTCAATACGCAGTGTCCCTTGAAGACTTTCTTTGGCCATCTCTAATCTACCTTGGTTGTGGCACTGTGGGTTAATGCACTGGACTGCAAAATCAGTTTGAACTGCAAGATTGGCAGTTCAAGCTCACTAACTGCTCTTTGGAAACCCTATACAAGGTCACTATGGGTTGGAACTGACTTGACGGCACTTAGCAACAACAATAATCTCCCCTAGTGTGTATTAGAAGACCCTCATTTAGAGCTTCCTCTCTCCTACACTAACACTACCCTAACTCAATATTACAATTATATGCTTACCTCCAGTAGACAGCAAGTCAATAAATGGTAGAACTTTGTCTTATTTGTTTTTGAATACCAGGGGTCTGGCACAATTCCTGACACATTGAATGCCTTTTTGGTCTGACCTATATTTACTAATGTTTCAGTTCACAATTCAGATGTCACCCACCTATGCTTCAATGTCTTTGCATCAGTTGGTGCTCTCAAACCACACTGAACATATTTAGATTATAGTATTTCATTCATTCAACAAATATTTGCATTCTTTCTGTGTGCCAGCAGTGTTTTAGATCCTGAAGATACATCAGTTAATACCATTGATAAATACAGAAACTCTGTCCTCATGAAGTTTACCTTAGGGGAAGACAGGTAATAAACAAAATACATAAATAAAATAGATGATATACAGAAGTGCATTGGGGAAACCATAGAGCAGGATGGTCAGGTAGACCTTATTGAAGAGGTGATGTTTGAGCAAAGACTTGAAAGAGGTAGAGGAATGAACCAAGTAGTTATTTGGAGGAATAGTGTTCCAAGAACAAGTAGTTAGTTCTTGGCCTGCGGCCTGTTTGGATGGCAATAAAGAGGCCAGTGTTGCTGTTACAGAGCAGGCAAGGGGAGGAGTAGTGAATGATGAGGTCAGACAGGGACCTGGTACCAGATCATTTAGAATCTTGCAGACACTTGTAAGGACTTCGGCTTTTGCATTGAGTGAAATGGTAACCACTAGGACATTTTTAGTAGTGACATGATCTAACTTGTATAGGATCATCTTGGCTGCAGTGGAGAGTAGACTGTTGGGATGGAGGCAGTAGGAATAGAAGCAAGAAGACCTGGCAGTGTAATTCAGGGGAGATATAATGGAGTCCTGGTGTGGCGCTGTGGGTTAATGCACCAGACTGCAAAGCCGTTTGAACTGCAAGGTCGGCAGTTCAAGCTCACCAGCTGCTCCTCAGAAACCCTATACAGGGTCACTATGGGTCAGAACTGACTCGACAGCACTTAACAACAATAACAACAATATAATAGTAGTTTAGACCAGGGGATGGTAGTCAAGGTATTAAGAAGTGGTTGGACTCTGGATATATTTTGTAATTACATGTGCACGTGTCTGTCTTCCCCTTAGACTGTGAGTTCCTTAAAAGCAGAGTTGATATAGAGTAACTCCCCCAGTCCCTCAGCCTATCAAGTTAATGTGCAGAAAGGCATCTGTTGTTCTTTCTCCAATCTCAACTTTAAAAAGTGTCCACAGAATGTGCCTGGAGGGCTAAACACCCTTAAGGCACAGTGTAAGGACTTTGACTCTTGCTCTAAGTGAAATGGGAAGGGTAGAGAGTAATAATTGGGGTGAAGAGAGGCCCCCTCCTAAGAGGTTTCTCAGGAAGGGTACCATTCTGGAAAGATGCTACAGAGGGCTTATGGCACCTTAAAAAGAGAGCACAAAAACTTAGGGACCCACCCAGTCTTCAGTGCCAGCCAGCTTCACAAAACCTTTGCGCTTTTTGAGAAAGATGGTGGAGGCTCCTGGTCGGCACAAGAGGGCTTCAGTAGCTCCACCCACCACAATAATTGCTGCATTGCCTGAGCCATTCTGTGTCAGTAAGTAGTTCAAAGCAAACTCACTCACTGGTCCCACACCTGTGAAACCAAAGAGTGAAATGACATAACGAACTTGGTGCCTGAAGATGGGATAAGACATTCCTGTGAGCTCTTCCTACTGAAGACAATTCTATTTCCACCCTTCTCTGTCTTTGACCTCCATAGCCTGGATTAACCCTAGTCTGAGATTGGTCCTTAGGGTCAGATCCTTACCTTGGAAGTCTGTGCCTCTATGGTTGGTTTTGTACTTAATTTCTCTGCCCCCATAGCCTACTACTCTTAATTCAATAATATTTGACTCCACTCGCCCCTATAGCCTACTACTCTCAACTCAATACTATTTGACTCCATCCTCTTCCATCCCTACCCATGAACCACTGCTCTTTTCTCTACTCTGCTTGACTGGCAATTCTGGAGACCCTCTAGAGTTCACTCTTCTAGGAGTGTTCAAAAACTAGCTACTGTCAACTTGCTTCCTCTCTAAGAGCAACCTGCCAAAGGGGAACCATTAGTGGGGGTTGCTGGAGAGTAGGTAGACCCAGGAGCCTACTCAAAACCAAACTGAAGTGCAGTTGAACAATAAAATAAAGGTGAGACTCTTGTTCAATAGTAGTTACAGAGTCTTTATTCATTTTGTCTCCCATTTTTACCCTGTACTAGTTTTCTATTATTTCCTGGTATGGCCGGAATTGCCTCCACTATCCTGGTGTGGTGATGTAGGATAAGCACTGGATGCTAACTGCAAGAATGACAGTTCAAACCCAGCAGAGCTCCTTGGAAACCCTTTACAGGGTTTCTGTGAGTCAGGACAGCACTTAACAACAACAACAACACAACAATCCATTAAGAGAGACCCCAGCTCCAGGGCCATGTCAACTGCACAGGGAAGCAGATAACAGCCTTTGCAGATCAAGTGGTTTCACCTGGCACCTCCACCCCTGCTCCTGCCTCCAAAACCTGCATTTTACCTTTACATGTTTGGCTTCCACTGCTTTCTGGTATCCTGAAAGATGGGAATTCATCCAGAGAGAAGGCTATCTGCCACAATGCCCTGGCTTTAGGCCTGCTGTTGGGAAGTTGTTCTGAACTCTGATGAATGCCTATCCTTTATTCCATAGTGTCTTATGCAAGGGTGAAAGGTTTCCCAGGAGATAAAGTGTATGGACCAGGAGCATACCAGCTAGTATGAAACACTTTAAAATGCTTTGAAGACATTCTGTAATGAGAGCTGCTATACAAATAACTCTGGTAGTGTAGTGGTTACAAATTGGGCTGCGAACCTTAAGGTCAGTGGTTCGAAACTACCAGCCGCTCCGCAGGAGAAAGATGAGGCTTTCTACTCCCATAAAGATTTACACCCTTGGAAACCCTGTACAGGGTCGCTATGGGTCGGAACCGACTCTACAGCACTTAAAAACAACAACATACAAATAACTAACCAAAAAAAGTCAACTGACATCCCAAAGAAAGTCTGGCAAAATTCCTATGAGCTACCTCATTCATGAATTATTCCCCCTGTATTTGGGTTTGATGCTTGACTTTCACCTTCTGATTTTGAATTTGTCTGTGACTCTGAACTCGACTTCTGGTTTCTTCCTCTGAAAGGACTCTTTGTGACTCTTAGGAATGCTTATAACTTACACTTTTATCCAACCCTGCCTCCCAAATCATGGACATAAGTTGGTACCTTGGCAAACTTGGGTGCCTGTGTGCTCTTCCTGCTGGAGACAATTCTATTCCTGTTCCTGGCCTACTGTGTCTGGACTCATCTTCTACTAATCCTTACTCCAGCAGGGAGTGAGAATTGAACTATCGGTCTTATTGGGGATGGGGCCCTGAGATGGGCCAGAGAATGGAATGATTTCTTATACTCACCCATTGACATCACATATTCTCTCACAATTGGGATCCAGAAGATTCCTTCCAAGGTCCCTAGAGAGGGGGTGATAGCTGGAAAAATCCAAGAAAAGCCAGTGGCCTCAGTGGCAAAGTTGATGAAGACACCATAAGAGACGATTCCATGGGGGTGGTTGGCAATAATGTAGTTGTGTTTGGGAGAGAGGTCATGAGTCTTCACCAGCTGTTAAAGAGATTGAGTCAGAGCACTGAGTAGGAAGAAGGAAGAGAGATGTGGCTGCAAACCCAACAGTTAGCCTGTGCTTCACTTGTTGTTAAGTGTCGCCAAGTTGGTTCCTACTCATAGCAACCCTTTATAGGGTTTCTGAGGAGCATCAAGTGGTTTGAACACAGACCTTGTGATAGTAGTCTAGTGCTTATACTACAGTGCCGTACGAGGACTTGGGGAGCCCCAAATCCATGTTAATAGGGATGTCATAATGGTCATAGGATTTCCAGGGCATATGATGTTCAGAAAGGCTGATCTGGGTTTACCACTGTGAGGAAAAGCTGCTCTCCATCTTGTCCCATCTTGTACTTCTACTCGGCATTATATCTATGGGTCTTGACCTTCACCGCTGGCCAACAAAGCCGTTGCAAATGTGAAACTGAGAGAGGAGGGAGAGTCTGGGCAACAGAGACTAAGAGCACCCAGAAGAAGGGTAATTACCTTTATTGGGAAGTAATCTCAGAAATACTTCCAGAGTGTCCAGTTTCGTACCCAAGCTGAATGCCTACCACCTGTGTGTACAGCAGGGAAGAGAAAAGCAGACAGGGCATTACCAATCTCTTTACTCTCTTTCAGAGTCCTCATATCATAGGAGGGGCCTCCTTCTCACACTTCCATACTTTTATAGCTCAGAAATGTAGATACCAGTTATTGTGGAGGTGATCCCAACTCATAGCAACCCTATATGACAGAGTAGAACTGTTACCAAAGGGTTTCTAAGTCGGTAATCTTTATGAAAGCAGACTGTTTCATCTTTCTTTCAGCAGTTGGTGGGTTCAAACTGCCAACCTTTGGGTTAGCAGCAGATTGCTTGACCATGGCACCACTAGAGCTTCTTAGAGGTGTAGATGTTGTTGTTATTGTTGTTAAGTGCCATCTAGTCGGTTCTGAACATAGATAATGACCCTAAATCCAGTCCCCAAGGCATAAGAAACCTCTGCTCCTCTGGAGCCAGTGAAAATGGAGACAGCCTGAGGTCATGTGTCCCAGAAACCTCAACCCCTTGATGTTTCCTGGGAACATGGCAGAGATCTCTGTCCTTGCTGAGCTTTGCCGTGCTCTCCCTCCCCTGTGTTTTTCAACCCCCATTCTACTCATCTTCCTTTCTTTCCCCTCTCTTTTCCTTTTGTCTCTCCCACATCTTCTTCCTTTACTTCTCCCACTCTCTCCATCTATTACCCTAGAGTCATTTTTCCATCCTTAGCACAGACAGGGACTGCCACTCTGTCCCATCCCCTCACCTTGACTGTGAGTGTTCCAATCATAGATGAGCCAGGCTAAGAAGAACATGGCCAAGGTCCAGAACTTAGTGAACATCAGAAAGTAAGGCACAAGTATAGTGGGAATACCTCCTGAGGAGACACAAAGGGTTTATGTTTTTCAGTTCCCTTCAAGTTTCAGCATACCTCTCATAACTTTGATCTCTCTGAAGGAGTGAGTTAAAGTTAATGTGAGATTTTCCTCTCCCACCAGCCTAGCTTTGCTGTGATCAAAACTAACCTGTGAGCCCTTGGGTCTGAGTCCCCTAGATGGCTGAAATCTTAATTGCGTAAAAAACCTCAGTTGGGGTCAAAGAGCAGCATTATAGGGCAAGGGGAAAGACCCAATGCGTCAGGCTGGTGACTAACATTCCCATCCTGGGTCCTTAGGAAATTCTTTCTGAAAGCTTGACCTTCTTTTCTTTGTTGAATTGCTAAATCAGCATGCTCTAGTGAAGAGGGGTTGCCTGCAATGTAGAGGCTGTTTGATGCTGATAAGAAAACATGGATTAGAAATTGCTTTACTATGGTTCTGTTTTGTCCTCCTCAAAACGTCCCAAAGGTGCCAAAGGGGAAATATTTGTCAGCATCCTGGAGTGGTGCTGTAAGATAAACACTGGACCACAAGGTCGGTTGGACCGCAAGATGGCAGTTCAAACTCACCAGCCGTTCCTCAGAAACTCTGTACAGGGTCGCTATGAGCCAGAGCTAACTCGATGGCACTTAACAACAACAGCAAAGGGTCACAGCAGGCTGTGAAATACAAACATGTTATACATCTCACAGATGTGGGGATTGAATTTTAGTTTTAAATCTGTATTCATGAGAAAGAGGAGCTAAGTACATATATTGTGAATAAAAGAAAACCTAGCTAAGACAATGGCTTCTTTGACTAGGTAGCCACATCACCGTAGGTAAGAGTTTCAAAGAAAGGGGTTGCTTGACTCTTTTATTTGGGTCATGGATGAAAATAGTAAGAAAAAGTAGGAATGAAATTTTCTTTTAAAAATCATGTTATGAAGTAGAACAGGGGTGGGAAACCTTTTTTTCTGCCAAAATTTATAATGTCACTCGCCAGCCATACAAAATTATCAACTTCAAAATTAGCCTGTTATACTTGGTCAAATATTTAATTAACTCACTCCTTATGTGATGACTGGAGTCCTGGTGTGGCATTGTGGGATAAAACACTGGACCATAAGGTTGGCTTGAGGCAGAAAGTTGGCAGTTCAAATGCACCAGTTGCTCCTTGGAAACCCTATACAGGGTTGCTATGAGTCTGAACCAACTCAATGACACTTAACAATGTGATGGCTGGAACTGCAGTTGCCTTGGCAGGGCCAGACAAAATCATTTCGAGGGTCTTATAGGGCGGGAGAAAGATGAGGCTTTCTACTCCCGTAAAGATTTACACCCTCGGAAACCCTGTACAGGGTCGCTATGGGTCGAACCCGACTCGATGGCACTTAACAACAACAACATAGGGCCTGAGGGCCTGACGTTCCATAATTCCTGAGTTAGAAGAAACCTTAGTGATAGGTTGACTTACCTGTATCTGAACTGGCTGAGACAGCTATTCTAAGAATGCTAATTAAACAGGAAAATAATGATGGAAGGAATTTTATGGGAAGCCTGCTAGATAAAAGTCCTAATACCTCTGATCCTCAGAGTCCTCGTGTGGTGCTGCGGGCTAATGTGCTGGACTGAAAGATCAGTTTGAACTGTAAGGTTGTAGGTTCAAGTTCTCTAGCTGCTCCTCCGAAAACCTATACAGGGTCGCTATGGGTTGGAACGGAGTCGACTCGACGGCTCTTAACAACAACTTCTGATCCTCATTAAAGATGAGAGTAAAATTGCCGGTTAATCTTCAGATGGAATCATTACAGGCAGGAAGCTCAGGAAGGAAGTGACATAAGTGATGCTATATGGAGGGGATTACAATAATTGAGATATTGAGATGAAACGAAGTATATGATTTGCTGAATGTAAAACTGATGATCTGCTCTGTAAACATTCCTCAATTTATAAAAAAGTATCACTACTGATTAAAGGTAAACTCCTGGTGTGGTGCTGTAGGATCAGCACTGGACTGCGAACCACAAGGTTAGCAGTTCAAACCCACCAGCTGCCTCTTGAAAACCCTATACAGGGTTGCTATGAGTTGGAACCCAACGATGGCATGTAACAACAATAACAAATGTATTGTTTCTTTTATATCTTGCCTCAAATAAATTTTGTTTAAATACTTAGAACAGTGCCTGGTACACTGTAAGTGTACAACAAATATTTGTAGACTGATTGAATACATATATTTTGGTTGGTTGTGTGCTACCGAGTGGGTTCCAACTCATAGAGACACTGTATACGGTTTCCTAGGCTGTAAATCTTTACAGAAAGTCTCATCTTTCTCCCAAGGAGAGACTGGTAGATTTGAACTGTTGACTTTGTGGTTAGCAGTCCAACTCATAATCCACTATGCTGTCAGGGCTTCTTGAATACATATATGTTGTTGTTATTGTTAAGTGCTGTTGAGTTGGTTCCGACCCATAGTGACCCTGTATAGGGTTTCCGAGGAGCAGCTGGTGAACTTGAGCCACTGACCTTGTGATTCAAACTGACTTTGCAGTCCAGCGCATTAACCCACAGCACCACACCAGGACTCCACATGTACATAAATACATAAATGCATAAATAAATGTTTTCTCTTTAATAATAAAACCCCAAAACCAAACCCACTGCCATTGAGCAGATTCCGACTCATAGCGACCCTATGACCTTTTGTCTAGGGATAAAATGAAGAAGACAGGAAGAAATAGAAATGAAGGACAGACGAGTCCAGGATTTCAGGGAGAAAATGGAAAGAGTGCTGTTATATTGTGGGAATTGCAGTCAATGTCACAAAACAAAATGTGAATGAACTGTTGAGTAGAAAACCAATTTCCTCTGTAAACTTTCACTCAAATCACTAAAATATTTAAAACAACAACAACAACAAAAACTAGAGAGAAACAAATGCAATGATAAAGATAATCTGAAAGAACTCAAGAAAGGAGAGAAAAATAAACCTAGGACATATAGGACAATAAAAAGTACAAAAGAGAGAGAAAGAATGGTAGCTTTAAACCCACATATATTCTATCTATTGTTGTTGTTGTTGTTAAGTGCTATCAAGTCAGTTCTGAATATAGCGACCCTGTATAGGGTTTCCAAGGAGCAGCTAGTAGGCTTGAAACACTGACCTTGTGGTTTTCAGTCAAATGCTTATCCTACAGCACTATACCATATGTCCATTATAACTATGTTGTTGTTGTTTGTTGTGAAGTGCTGTGGAGTCGGTTTTGCCTCATACCAACCCTGCATAGAGTTTTTGAGGAGCGGTTGGTGGATTTGAACCACTGACTATGTGGTTCAAACCAACCTTGTGGTCTAGTGCTTATTCTACAGTGCCACACAAGGAGTCCATTATAACGATGTTGTTGTTGTTAAGTACTGTCGAGTCGGTTGCGACCCGCATATTAAATATAAATGCTATGATCAAAAAAAACTGTATTTTAAAAAATACAGTCATAGGCTATTTATAAGTGATATATCTAAAACATAGGAATCCTGGTGTGGCGCTGTAGGATAAGCACTGGACCACAATGTTGGTTTGAACAGCAAGGTCGGTGGTTCAAACCCACCAGCCAATCCTTGAAAATCCTATACAGGGTCACTGTAAGTTGGAACTGACTTCACAGCACTTAACAACAGTAACAACATATCTAAAGCATACAGAAAATAAAATAATGAACTAGATATATTATGCAAAATGATAACTAAAGGAAAGTCACTGCAGTGATATTATGATCAGGTAAAACAGACTATAAGGAAGGACAGGTGCCAAATGAGCCTGAGACATTCATTTAGTTATGAGTGTATTTATCCTGCATTTAGTAGAAAGGTGCATCCTGGGAAAACCCAGAAGAAGGGAAGAAGGCAGAGTAGGCTGCTTTGAACAAAGACCTCACACTGTGTGGATCTCTCTGTAGCTCAGTTAGACCATGTCCTTGGGATGTGCACAGAGAAACCTAAGACACATGCCTTTGCACTGCTTCTTCCACCAGATCTGTGCCTTGTGACAGCAATTGGAGTGTTAAGTATTCACAAAATATAAAGCATTAGTCTTCTAGCTCCCTTCAGCTCCATTTGTTCAGTCTCACAATCTTTTGAGAAACTTCTCTTTCCATGTTATGATCTCAACTCAGCCTCCCAGTGAACTCGGGTGAAAGAAAACATTCTAAACTAGTTTTGTTTCACAAAGCTGTGATTTCTAGCTAGGTACAGCTTGAAACTCTTGGCCTGTTTGCCCAGTACTAATGAATACTGTGCTCTGAGTCCATTAAAATTGGTCCTTTCTGAAAATTCTAACTAATGAGTCATTCAGGTATCACTCATATTTTCCAGAATCCTCTCACCATAGTCTTATATGAGAAAATCACCTTACACTTACCTAGTAACACCATCTCTGAAGGCTCTTCCCCTTTCTCCATCGCCAAAATGACTCTTTTCAGCTACTACACAGAGGGCAATTTCTGAGCAGGATAGGGTGATATCTTTCCTGGCCTTCATGCTCTCCTTTGGGAGATGAGAAATCTAGTGGTGAGTATAATAATAGCTGTCTCTCTGTGTGGGGAGACAGATCTTCCCAGTCAGGAGACCAGCTAGATGATCTCTTTGAATCCCTCTTCATCTAGAGATTTTTTTCTAGCCCCTAAGGTTCACTCACCTAACAATATATAGGCTGGGATCCATTGCAAAACAGAGAGGGTTTGAAGGCCCTCCTGAAGATCCAGTAGAGAAAAGAAGTCCATGGCCATGGTGCTATGGCAAGAAGCCCTGACAGAAGGCTAGAACCTTTTAAGCAGAGTTCATTACAAGTACTTTGCTATAACCATTTATCATCCTGTGTGTTTAGCTGTTGGGGATTTTAGGTTTTCCTAACCTTTCCACCAGTCTTCTCTGCTCTCACTCAGCCCCGCCTCAACTTCCTACACACACGAGGTTTCAGGTTAGTGTCTTAACTATCTTATATAGCCTGCCTGTTCTTTTTCCATGTGTAGCTAATTGCAATGATGCAGAAATAGTTTCAAGGTGGCTCTATCTGTGGGTTGTTGTTGTTGTTGTTAAGTGCCGTCGAATGTGGGGGAACCTGGCAAATTTGTGCCAGAAAAGAGAATGGTTAGACTTAAATGGAACCTTGAAAAGCAATTCACTAATTTTCCCTGTGTAAGAAAGAGGCCATGCTTGCTTTTGCACTAGTGGCTGCTCCTTTGACTCTCCCACCCTTCTGCTGAGGGCCATCTAGTCCACTAGGGCTGTTTTTCTCATGGATTTATATGAAGAGGCTTTGAAAAGTTCATGGAAAATGGAATTAAAAGACAATAAACATTTTTCCATGAATGTTTTGAAGCTCCCTTGTACACCTTTCAGATTCTTCTTTGTGCCTCTGTTCTTAGGGGCTTTGTATCAGCAGCTAGATACCACATAGTAGAGTGGGGGAAGTGTTGCACAGAAAGCAGATCTGGCTTCCAGTCCTGCCTCTACCTCATCCTTCCTGGAACACACCTGGAGATTGCTCCATCTTTCTGTATCTCAGTGTGAGCTTTCAAGAGGCAGTGCAGTGGTTAGGGGCATTGAGTTTAGAGCCAGATAGCTGGGATTCTAATCTCAATTCTGCCACTTACAAGTTGGTGAACTCTCTGTATCTTGGTTTTCCCATCTGTAAAATGGAGGCAATATTAGTATCTACTTCACTGGGTTGTTCTAAGGCTCAAAGTAGTGACTGAGTAAAGTGTTTACCACAGGGACCTGGTATACAGTAGGCACTGTGAAAATGTTTCCTGTTATTATTAATCATTTAGTTCAATTAATATCTATTGACGATCTACTACGTTTAAGGCTAACAGGATTGCTTTTGTGTATCAGCCTTCACAAAATTAAAGAGTATTCTCATATCCCAGACCTCCTAAATTCCTTTTTTTCTTTGACTACTGTTTGCCAGGTACTGTTCTAGATGCTGAGGATTCAGTGGTGACGAAGACAACCCTGATATCTGCCTTCATTGAATTTACAGTGTAATGGAAGAGATAAACTTGAAAACAAATATGCCTGTAACTTGAATTTGTGATAAGTGTCCTGAGAGCAAAGGTCAATATACTAAGCATAATGCCTTGAATAGAGAAAGTGCTTTAAAATATCTGTTGAATATAATTTAAAAGATTTCTGGTTAATCTAAGCTCTTGTTTGGTTTTAAAAAAAGATGTCAGGGGATATTTTGGTTTAAAGTTTAAAGATTATCTCAGGGCAATAGTTTCAGGCTCCATGGCTCCAGAAAGTCTGGAGTCCATGAAGATTTGAAATTTTGATCCGCATTTCCCCTCTTTTTATCAGGATTCTACTAAATAAAATAATGTCTGCCTTGTGAATTATGCTCTTTCAAGATCTATCTCTATGGGATCAAACTGACAACAGTAACTTGAAAGATTAAATAGGAAACTTATGGAGTAGTGAGTGTATGCTAATGGGGGTGAAACGACTCAGAAAAGGAAGGTGAGAACGGTCACACAACTTGAAGAATATAGTCAATGTCGCTGAATTGTACATGTAGAAACTCTTGAATTGGTATGTGTTCTGCTGTATATATTCTTAACAGTAACAACAACTAAATAAATAAATGTAAAGGGTTTCTGGGAGACTATGATATAAACATGGTATCAAATGGCATGTAGGTACAATGTTTCTTTTGTGTGTGTGGAGGGGGGGGGAATTGCCCAGTGAAAAACATACTATTTCAACAATTTCTGCATACATAATTCAGTGACACTGATTACATTTTTCAAGTTGCACAACAATTCTTACCCTCTTTTTTCGAGTTGTTCCTCCCCTTGTTAACATAAACTCACTGGCCCCTAAGTGTCTTATTTAACCTTTTGAGTTGCTGTTGTCAATTTGATCTCACATAGAATTTTAAAATCAAAGAATTCAGTAATGGTAGTATAGTACCATCCAGTTCTTCTGGTCTCATGGCAAAGGAAGCAATTGTCCATGGGAGCAACCAGATTTCAATGCATTTCGTTTCCTTCTCCGATTCCTGACACTTGAAAGAAGGGCTTATTGATTCCTTAGATTTTCCCAGGGAGATTAGAACTCTAATCTTTGGCTTGGACCTCCCTGATTAAATTGACTAATATGACCCCTCAGAGTTAAGCTGACAAAACTTTTTTGGTATGATGGGTTGTAGTTTCATTCTCTAATGTGCCTTCACATGTCACCCTTTTGTCTCGCATGCCCACTCTTTTCTTCCTCCTGGATTAGCTCGGATTCTCAAGTTGCATTTTGGCAACAGAGAAGGTGAGATGTATTATAGTATTATAATATGTCTGCTCAGAATTATCAGGAAAGGAGGGAAAGAAGGAAAAGAGGCAGGCCTGGATCCTCTGGGCCAAGTAAAGATATGAAGGGCCTGAGATATCTCAGATAGACAAAGTCCGTAACTCTGAGAGCTCAAAGGCCCCTTCCGGATCAGGTATCCACCCCTCTCCACTTTCCTATTCTAGGTCTCAGCCTTCAAGGTTTAGTGAACACGATTCCCTGATCTTACCTCTGGGTTCCCAAGGTACATTATATAGGCTTTGGAAAGAGCACATAAGGGAATTACACTTAGTATATGTCAACTTCACATCTACACCCAGCCTCTAGGAGCAAGAGAGTATTTGATGAAAAGTCATCCCCTTTCCTAACCACCCAGCATCCCTACTGAGAAACTAACTCTGTAACCTGATTTTTCTGTATCCATCCAGGGACATTTTATGTATACACAAGAATATAAGGTAAATTACTTTGTTAAATGAATAAATGAACAAATAAATTACTTTCAGCCAGAACTGCCATCTTGCAGTAATCTGCCAAAATGACGAGCACAAAGGGAAAGAGGTGGGGCACCTGCTATATGTTCTCCAGGCCTTTCAGAAAACATGGGGTTCTTCCTTTGGCCACATACATGCAAATCTACAAGAAAGGTGATATTGTGAACATCAAGGGAATGGGCACAGTTCAAAAAGGGATGCCCCACAAATGTTACCAGGGTAGAACTGGAAGAGTGTTGTGAACAAACAAGTTAAGGACAAGATTCTTGCCAAGAGAATGAGTGTGCACATTGAACATATTAAGCACTAGTACACTAAGAGCCAAGATGGCTTCCTGAAGTGAGTGAAGGAAAATAATCAGAAAAAGAAAGAAGCCAAAGAGAAAGGTAACTGGGTTCAACTAAACCACCAGCCTGCTGTCCCCAGAGAGGCGCACTTTGTGTGAACCAATGGAAAGGGGCCTGAGCTGCTAGAACCTATTCCCTATGAATTCATAGCATAACAGGAGTACAATAAAGATGTCTGAGATGGACAAATGTTAGGTCTTTGGTTGTAATTGTATAGAAGTGTGGTGTCCTCCCCTCTAAAGATGTAGTATTTAAGCATGTTTTGTTCCCCAATTCGCTTGATAATAAATGCCTTTACTATTGAAAAAAAAAAAAAAAAAAGAACAAATTTTAAAATCTGGAAACTACCTAAATGTCCAAAATCTGGGGCTGGCTAAGTAAGCTATTATATATCAATGTTACAGGCTAAGTTACAGTATTAATAGTCATTAAAATTATCCTAAGGCAGACTCTGTAGTACATGGCCTGTGGTAAGCTTTAAAAGCAGAATATAAAGCAGACTTCCACATTGAATACACCTCATAAAAATGTGGTCTCTTCATTGATATAATGAAAGGAGGTCTGAGAGGAAAAATGACTGCTACTTTAAGGTGAAGGGATTCTGTATCTTCTTTTATGTAAGCTGGATCATTGTGAATTTGGCTGATGACGAAGTGAGATTCGTGATGGGACTCATTCACTCAGTAATCCATTCAGCAAACATTGAATGCTTGCTTTGTCATAAAGAAAAGCTAGAAATAATGCTGAGCTTCCCAGGATGAGCACAAAATAGGTGATAGGGACATGGGAAGCTGTGATGAGACAAGAGGGTAGGGAATGGGATGAGTTCATTGGAGCTTTCTTTGTTCATCAAGAGGTGCTATGTCTAAGAGTTGTGGAGAAAGATCAGGACTAGTCATTGCCAAAAGTATACGTGTCAGGAATGCTAGAGATGCACTCAGGGAGAACACAAGGAAAGGAGAAAATGAATTAAAGTAAGCTGGGATGAATTTCTTTCTGTGAATCTCAAAATGCTCTGAGTCAGTGCCAACGGTGCCAGGATAGTAGAGGCTGTAACTGAAGTTGCATGTTGAAGGACCTCACAATTCAGGCAGACATTCTTCTTCACAGACCCTGTCTCCCAAGCCACATGCACTCATGGCCTGGGTCTAGTCTTAGTTTTCAAAGAACGCCTGGCAGACAAAAGAGGGGTTTGACCTGCTTAGAAACTATATAGGAATCCTCAAGTGAAAGGCTAGGATAAACACCAAACCGAACTCGTTGCTGCTCGGTCAATTCTGACAGGGTAGAATTACCCCATCTGGTTTCTAAGGCTTTAATCTTTATGGAAACAAACTACCTTGTCTTTCTCCCACAGAATGGATGGTGGGTTCAAACTGCCAACCTTTTCGTAAGCAGCCAAGTGCTTAACCACTATATCCTAAGGGTTTCCTTAGAGGCTAGGATAGAGGGTTTTAAAGATTTACTTGAACAAAGGACGTTTAGGTCTGGGAGAGGAGAGCAGGTGAGCTTGGCATTGGGAACAAGAACATTTCCCTGCAGGTTGAGTGATGTGGGGCCCCAGGAAGTGTAGGTTTCTGAGTGGGGCTTTCCCCCTAGTGAGCA